TTCTGGACTGGTTGGGGTAGGCAGGTTGGTCAAACTCTGGGCTGGCTTCTTGCAGGGTGCATTATCTATGCTGGGCAGGGATCTCTGCGAGACTCCCTGGGCTTGCTCCTAGATGGGCCTCAAGCATGGAATAGTTCATTTGCACCCAAAAGAGTCTCACCCTTACATCTCATTGCCTTGACTTTGCTTCTTGCAGCTTTCAGCTTCTTTCTTGTACCTCTATCAAGTGGTGTATGTTAAAATTCAGAATCCATGATGTTGATGTGTTTCTTTTATAAGTCAGACATAGCCTCTATTATTGATAACTTGATGTGGCATCTCATTGGTATGATCACTTCTTCCACTCCTTCACAACTTTTCATCCCTCAAAATTTCTTGTCTTCCTGTTAGTAAAGAGTGTCTGGAAATCTTTTATAGTTAATAGGTAGATGGCCCAAGCACAACTGCTGCACTTGTGGACCTCACTATACCACTAAATCATCTCCTTTTCTGGTCTTCTATGCTCTTCACTTATGTCTTTTATGCCGTATTTCCCTTATGAATTATAATCATGATTTAAATTATTACAATTTTATATCAGAATTTTTGCCCATAGATATAAAATTAAATAGTATACATAATTTCTAGATACTTTAGAAATGAATGATGTCATGCTCTCCAACAAATTTACTTTTGAAAATATATTTGGTTGATGTGAAAAAATCCCCATTAGATGCAAATGTCAACCAAATGAAACATTTGAGATTTCCAAAAGAATTTAGATTATTTCTGGGCAGATATATTAACATTAAATTCATTAATTCTAATTTATTCTTGGAAGCTAAAACTATCTTTATTTTCTTTATGAATTATTTTGGTGATAATAATTTTATTTAGTGGGTAACATTGTAATGCCTGTCAAGTCATTGTGGCTATTTACTTCTTTATTGAATAGTTAGTTGTAATTTAGTATCTTGTAATGGTTTAGTTTTTTTTTCCCCATTCAGATAGAATTTTTCATTCAGAGTGCAACATTGCTGAAAAGATAGTTCCTTAAAATAAGAAAAAAACTGGGACCTGTTTCTAGGGATTCTGGGAAGAACAAATTTGAGCTCAATACTGTATTTTTATATTCAAGTTATTAGTTGGAAAACAATTAAATTAGCCATTGTTTTTGTGTACTGACCTGAACTGTTCCCATATGCTATTATTATGTATTTATGTACCTTTCAGAACTAAGGTTCATCTGTTTTGTTTTGGTTTGCTTTTTGGTGAGACAATTGGGGGTAAGTGACTTGCCCAGGGTCACACAGCTAGTAAGTGTCAAGTGTCTGAGGCTGGATTTGAACTCAGGTCCTCCTGACTCCGAGGCTGGAGCTCTATCCATTGCACCACCTAGCTGCCCCAGGTTCATCTGTTTCTTGAGCCTAGAAAAACAAAAGTCAAAATATGTTTCAGAGGCCACTTTCAGAATAGAGTAACCAAGCCTAGAAATAGTTCTTGCCTTTCCTTTGGCATATATTTGCAAAAGTTAAGTTTTATTTGGACAAAGTGATGTTTCTGTGTTTTGCTTCATAAGGAAATAAAACATTTCCAATGTAGTGGCTAAGGAATGGGAAAATTAAGTATTTTTAAACCAGTGAAATACATTTTGATAGTCCTCTATAAAATCATCAAGTTTCACTTAATTTCTTTGAACCCAATTTTCAGACAGGCCTTTTGATCGAAGAAAACCCAAGTTAGGGGGTGGGGTTGGAGAAAAAGCCCACGGCTTGCTCACTTGATGTTATCAGGGCCACATTTACTACCTCTTGTGTCTTCAGGAAAGGCATTCCTTGTATATTCTTTTTTGTGCATGTGCATGGGACCTGGATTTTGCCAGCAGATACCTAAAACCAATTATAGGCAGCTTCGTATTTTCTCAAATGTAAAAAGAAATAAGAAGTTGGGTGCTGGCAGTGGAGGTAGAGACCTGAAGAACACTTGTTCTTCCCTTGAAACCAATGATAAGCTATATGCCGGTGAATCAAAGTGTTTGTGTGCAAAATCAGATAAGAATAAAAATCCTGTTGCTATAAAAAGGATTCCATTTCAGGAGAACGTAAGATTTAAAAGTCTCCAGAAATAAAGCTTATATGTTTCTTCTGCCCTTGGCTGTGGTAACAAATCCAGATTGTCTGAGGTTGGCTGTTCTAACTGGCTAAGTAATTGGAGCCAATTTGTCAAGTTCCTGAGATAACACCTCAGAGTATGCATGTGTGGGGATAGTTTCAGAGTCTCTCTGGGTTTCAGGTTCATGATGACAAACTCTCTCAGAGGTTCCTTGGAATTAGCTAAAATCTTGTAATTGGACTAGGCCAGAAAGGACCTTTCAGAATACAAGATACAGGCCTGGGGTTAGCCCAGGGTGTCACTGACTAATTTGCCAGCATTGATTCACCTTGTCTGATGCTACAACTAATTTATTCATTCAACAACTATCTGCTGAGTATCTAATGTGCAAAGCTCTAGACCAGGGGTGGGGAACCTGTAGCCTCGAGGTCACATGTGGCCCTCTGGTCCTCAAGTGTGACCCTTTGACTGAATTCAGTGTCTGGCCACATGTGGCCTCGAGGCCACAGGTTCCCCATCACTGTGGTCTGGACTAAGAATTGTCAAAAAATGAATAAAACTCAGTCCTGCTCATAAGGAATTTACAATCTAGTAGCAGAATTGCAACATGAACATAAATAACTCATAATGCCAAAGAGACTATAAGTATTTGAACAGTGTTAAAAGAGTTCACAGATGGCAAAAGTCTCATCTGTCAAGAGAATGATGAATAGCTTGATTGAGGAAAGTAATGTCTGATCCTAACTTTGAAGGATTATTAGATTTCCACAGTAGGATACTGAGCTAAGAAATATTTCATATAGGGAAAAGCAAGTATGCAAAAGAAAGGAAGATAGTATGTAGGAAGTACAGTTTGGAAGGAGTGTTCTAAGTCAATATGAAAGAAAGCAGTGAAAAGGCAAGATTGGAAAGATGGAATAAACCACATTTCAGGAGGCCAAAAGTGAATGAATGAATCACACAAGACCTAGCAGTGGTGACCCTAAAAGACTGCAGGTCTTGGAACACTGTATATCCAAGAGTGAAAGAACTGGGGTTCTAGCCGAAAATATCATACCCAGCAAAGCTAAGCATAATACTGAATGAAAAAAAATGGACATGTAATGAATTGTCAGATTTTCAGGACTTTGTTGAAAAAAACCAACCTGCCTTAATAGAAGATTTGACATGTAAGAGCCAAGAGAAATATAAGGTACATACCAAAGACTAATTATAGGGGACTCAAGGACAGATTGTTTATCTTTTATGTTTGTAAAATGTGTGTCTAAAATTGTTATTAGTAATTGGATATTTCTTAAGAAAAATTGGGGTAGACCTGAGTATGATATGACTTGAAAAAGTAAAACTGTTTAGGACTGGCTAAAAACAGTAATTACCTTATACAAATGAGGTACTGAGAGGAAGAACCTACACAGAGGAATTAGGTGGGGGGAGGAGAGCTGTTAGTTCTGGAAACCTACTTTCATTGGAAATGGGTTCAAGAGGGAACAATACATATATATCTAGAAAGTGCTTCTTAAACTGTGGGTTGCAACGTCATATTTTTTTGACAACAGCAAAAGGTTTCTGAATGTGCAATGACCAGAAATTAATTCAAAATCAAATGTGTAATGAATCCCAGCGGTTTCTGGCGGTGCTCCCCGTTTTGCATTGTGCAACTTCACTTGCAGCCTTGGTTGTGAACACAAAGCATGAGTACTTCACACTGTGCATGCCCTCAGGCCATGCAACACCAACAAATGCTGCTGAAATGCAAAAAGGGGTCTCAAGTGGAAAAAAGTTTAGGAAGCCCTGATCTAGAAGAGTATAAAAGGCTTCTAAATTTAGAAAGAAACAAAACACTAAGGGGATAGGGAGGGGGAGAGGGTAAGGGAGGGATCTCTAGAGAAGAGGGTGAGGGAATAGGTCAAAGAAGGGTATAGAAGGGTGTTTAGATCAACTGGAATGGGAGGATAAGGGAGCAATCCTTGGAGGGAGGGAGGTTAAGTAATAGGAGGGCAAGGTAGCAGGTAGAAGTGAAGTACAGGAGTTAGGAGGGATAGGAAATAAGAGATATGCATGAACATAAAAGCAAAGATCAGAAGTAGAATTTGTTAGGGAAAGTATATGTTTATATATGTATGTATATATGTATATGTATATGTGTATATGTATATTTATATAAATGTATCCATGCTTAATTGTAGCCTTGGGAGGGGGAAAAAGGGGAGAAAGGAACAAAGTAAAAAGTGCACAGCAGAGAACAAAAAAAAACTTACAAGGAAGCAAAAAAAAAAAGATGGACAGCTCTCAACACAACGCATAGTGTTTATTACATAGATTTTCTTGAAATGGAAATTTATTGCTATGTATTTTGAATCTTCACATTCTGCTGTGCACATGTGTATTTAAGTTTTAGTATTTAAGTCTAAAATTTAAAAAAATGAATGAATAATTAAAGGAATTAATGGAAAAAATTATTAAGCTCTTACTATGTGCTAACCTAGGTCAGGTGCCCTCTTGGTAGATATGGGAATCCAGAAAGATTTTTTAAAAATCTTGTTTGCCCAAAATATTGTTTAATCATTGAGGTACAACCACATTCACCCTACTTTTTGGCTTCTTTGCCCATAGCTTTGCCATCTTTAAAAAGCAAGTGAAGACTTAATAGGATTATAGCAAAGGTTATTTAGTTATATTTTTAATGCCTTGAACCACAGAGAATGAAGACAATTACTTTTGTAGACCAAATGATGTGAATACTTGCTAGCTTTTCAATTTTAAGCAAGTCACATAACTATTCTATATCTTAATTTCCTCATCTGCAATTTGGAATAATCAGGTTTATACTGCATACCTGATCAGGCTGTGAAGAGAATATTCATAAACATTCACTACATAAATATGATTTATGTTTGATTTTTTTATAGGATCACAAGATGCTGCTCATGATTTAGACACATTGAAAAAACACAAGGTAAAAAATACCTAAAATTTAGCATTTTCATTAGTGTTTCACATCTATTGAAAGAAAAAGTACATTATTCTAAAATTCTAGAATTTCGTAAGTAAGCTTTTCCCATGATTTAAATGTGGCTAAAATTTGCCTGCCTAATCTAAATATATTGAGTTGTGTGTTTATTGGTAGTTTCAGATTTTTTTTAGAACTTGGACCATCTATTAAGAAGGAAAACTATTAAATTCATGAACCTGGTCATTTTTAGACTTTTTAAGTGAATTCAAAATAATTTGTGACTTATTGGAAAAAAGATTTGTTTGAATTTTATAGGTATTACCTCCATCAGTATGTTTATAGAATGATAGGATGATGCAAAGTTTTAAGAAAGTACATGGTTTTCACTATAGAGTGACAAATAAGACTATGAATTAGCATATTTTTAGTGTTCTGTTTTTAAAGCTGGGGTGCTAATTTAATTCCAGTCTACTGAAACAGACTGAGTAACTCTTTATTTTTTTTAAATTTTTTTTTTTAGTTTTAGTTTTCAACATTTACTTCCACAAGATTTTGAGTTCCAAATTTTCACCCCATCTCACCCCTCCCCCCACCCCAAGATGTCATGCATTCTGAATACCCCTTCCCCTAGTCTGCTTTCCCTGTTATCTCTCCCCCCCTTCTCCTTCTATTTTCCTGTAGGGCAGGATAGATCCCCATTTCCTATATTTCTTATTTCCCAGTTGCCTGTGAAAACGTTTTTTTTAAACACGTGTTTTTAAAACTTTGGGTTCCAAATTTTCTCCCTTCTTCCCTCCCCACCCACACTCATTGAAAAGGCAAGCAACTCAATATAGGCTATACATTGTGCAGTTATGCAAAACACTTCCATAGTAGACATGCTGTGAAAAACTAACTCTATTTCCCTTAATCCTATTCTGTCCCCCCATTTATTCTATTCTTTCTTTTGACCCTGTCCCTCCTCAGAAGTATTTGCTTCTGATTACCCCCTTTCCCAATCTGCCCTCCTCTCTATCATCCCCCTATTCTCTTGTCCCCTTCCCCTTCTATTTTCCTGTAGGGCAAGACAGATTTCCATACCCAATTGAGTGTGTATATTATTCCCTCCTTAAGTCAAATCCTATGAGAATAAGATTCACTCATTCCCTCTCACCTTCCCCTGTTTCCCCTCCACTGTAAGAGCCTTTTCTTTTCTGTTTTTTTGTGAGATAATTTACCCCGTTCTACCTTTCCCTTTCTCCTTCTCCTAGTATAATCCTCTCTCACCCTTAATTTTATTCTCCAGATATGACCCCTTCATCTTCAACTCACCCTGTGCCCTCTATCTATCCATCTATCTATCTATCTGTCTATCTATCTATTTATCTATCTATCTATCTATCTATACATACATATAATTTTTTTCCCTCCAACTACCCTAATACCGACAAAGGTCTCATGAGTTACAAATATCATCTTTCCATGCAGGGATGTAAACAGTTCAACCTTAATAAGTCTCTCATGATTTCTCTTTCCTGTTTACCTCTTCATGTTCCACTTGAGTCTTGTATTGGAAAGTCAGATTTTCTATTCAGCTCTGGTCTTTTCATCAAGAATGCCTGAAAGTCCTCTATTTCACTGAATGACCATTTTTTCCCCTGAAGAATTATACTCAGTTTTGTTGGGGAGGTGATTCTTGGTTGTAATCCTATCTCCTTTGCCCTCCAGAATATTATATTCCATGCCCTGT